TCGCATGAGTGCGCATCATAATCGGACCTCTCATTCACAGTAGCCGCTGGATAGCGGGAGGTACGCCCAGACAGGCGCTAACCAACGGAAGCCTTCAGCAGGACGACGAAACAAATTTGGACAACTTGCAACCCTGCAGGGACACCGTTCCCTGCCGTTCCTCAGAAATGGGCAACAATTTTCTTAAAAATGAAGTTCTTTTTTAGGAAAGCACTAAACTGAACTTTTCAGCATTACACGTTCCTCTTCAAAATTTAAAATGTGTTCCGCTCTGCCTCGCGAATCGACTTCAACTTGGACTTCGCCTTTTTTTTCTTTTTTTTTTTTTGCAGATCCGCTAATCTGCCAAGCATATTCCTCTGCACACATTTCTGTCCACCCCAAGGACAACTACGCGGACAAAAAGGAAGCGGCCACTTTTGGCGAGGAAACTACTTCTTCCCCATTTCATCTGCGTGCGGCCGCACCGTACACCCCTCCTGTACACCGCCCTCCACCTCTTCGTATCACCCTGAATTGACTAATTTCGTTTCTATTAACATCTTGGAAGTGCATCTGAGGGGGAGGCCCAAACGTTCTTGTGTCCTCCCCAGGGGGGAGAGCCTCATCCTTCGTAGTTCTTTCGCCATGGGTAAAACCACTCCTAACAACAAACTTACCCGACTGAAACCCGTTGCCACAGTAGTGCACATTTTTTATCTTCTCATTGATTATAGATTTACTCCTATAAGGCATCACGTTGTTTCGATGATTATCTTGGAACCCTTCCCTGTGGGTTCCATGTCTATTGCCATAATGACCGTTCCTCATCTTTTCACCTTCCTGAATGGGATACCCATCACAGTTGCTGCTACCTCCGTTTGGGGCAAACAAATTGACCTTGTGCATTTTCCTACTTTGATAATAGCCGGCATGCATCGAATTGTCCTTGTGAGGTAGATGCTCACGGTGGAGAAGTCCATGAAGAAAATATTTCTCTCTAAACTTATTCACATTGTGTCTTTCCCCATTTAATTTGTCCTTCCATATCTGATGTGATTCCCTTCCTCCATCCACCCTGTTCGGATTATTTCTCCGGTGTGATAACATTCCGCTAGTGTGCCCCTCCCAACTGGTCGCATTCCCATGCGTGGCCAGTAGTACACAGTTACTCACTGCTCCATTTTGGGACGTCTTCCTTTCTACTCCTACATTAGGTGCACTGCCATAGGCATCTGCAGGGTTTAGGCTAGCCACATGGTGCTGCCAATTTCTCCTGTGCTTGTCCAAGCCGCCACCTTTATCATTAGCATTCACATAAGTGGCGGCAGCAACCCTGGCTTTATTTCCCCTTACATAAATCAAACGCCCATTTAGGTTGACCTCCTCAGGCCCGGCAGTGGGCTTCTTTCGCCAATATAGTTCCTCTCCATTTGGAAGGTACACCACCCTGCCAACAGGGGTAGCCGCGGGCGTCCCCTTCTGGTTACTTCCATCCATGCGGTGATTCTCAGCATGGTACTTCTCTACATGGTGCTTCCCTACAAGGTGCTTCTCTTCATGGTGATTCTCTTCATGGTGATTCTTCAAATTCCGGAAGTTACTTACCAGGTCACCTTTGTGATGTTTTTCCCCGCCTGAATTCACACCGCTAAGGTCGTCGCGCAGGAAGAATCGCCCCTTTTTCGATCTATAAGACGCCTTTATCATATCTTGAATATTATACATACTGCTGGTCATGCTATCCAAATTAGACCTCATTCCTACCCTTTTCGCCTTCTCATATGTGTGCCTCTCCTCCCTTGACTTATCATTTGTTCCGTTAAATGCTACACCATTCTTGCTCATCTGCATAGGGGTGACCTGTTTGTTGGCCCCAAACATATTAGTCTTCTTCCTCTCAACTGTCTCCATTTCCATATGATGCAAACTTCTCCCATTACGCACCGATGCGACGGTCTCGTTACCACTACTTCGGGCAGCAGTCCCATTTCCGCTTCCACCACTACCCTTCCCTGTGTCTGCATCCCCGACAGAATGTCTCAAACAAAAGGCGTCCCTAGAATCCCTTTTTTGTGACTCAGCCAGCATCCTCTCATAGCGGTTTTTTAACGTGTCCAGCTTTCTCTTGTTTTCCTCCAGGGCGCTCATTCCGCTGTCGCGCTTAGAATGGGACATATGCACTTCGTTGGTAGTGCTCACCGGGTTGGTAATACTCACCGGGCTGATAGTCCCCACCACGCTGCTACCCTCTCTTCCACCTCTGCCCCCGTATCCACTTTCAACTCCTTCCTTTTCCTCCCCCAATTTCATTCCTATTTTTTTCTCAAAGTTGAGCCAGCTCTCCTCAACTTTGGGAATCAAACATGTCTTCACATTTTTCTCCACCCCAGCGTTGGTCTCCTCGATGCGGACTTCCCCCCCATTGCGCACTGCCAAATCGGTGTCCCCTTCTGCAACCCCTCTTATTGTCTGACCTTCCATGATGCACTTCCTCACATCATTCATCTTGTTAAATTCAATATAGTAGGCAAACTTCCCCTTGCCGTTTTGGCCTATAATAGTTTTATTTTTCCAATTACTGAAGCAGCAGTTCTCACTGACCGATCTGCCTCTGTCGCCATTCTTCCTGTCACTCATAGGATCATGTCCTTCCCACACCCCTTCCCTTTCACAAGCTTCTCTTCTTCTCACCTCGCTGCAGCTCTTTTCACCCTTCGGACATGACGTATCTTTATTTTCCACCCCACTCGTGACCTCATTGCAATTCCTCACTACCTTAGAATTGGGGAAAATGTTAATCCTATTTATTACCATATTGTTTATCCCTACATTGTTAACATAATGGTGCTTCTTCTTTGAGTCGCCTAATCGGAGTAGATGCCCCAGGTGGGACGAAATGGCTGGGCTTCCCTCTTCATCATTGCCACGCCCTTTTGCATATAGTGTCTCATTAGAGGAGGACTTTTTGTAAACGTGGCTACGGTCGCTGGAGAAAATTGGCTTTACTTGCCTGTTATTTTCTGCCTCTGCTTGATCTTCCTCCTTTTTTGAGCGGTTCCTTCCATCGATTGGAGCCCTACTAACTGTGCCACCAGCTTGTCCAATCTTTCCGCCGTGTGCACTACTATTATGATTACTACTATCATTACTACTATGACTACTACTCCCTCTGCGTCTTTTCGAGATGGACGCCGCGATGAGACCACCAGCTGGAGCCAAATTAGAGCCATTACTCACCTCCAGCGAGTTAGCCGATTTGCGAGAATTTACCAACTCGGCATACCCTTTCTTTCGGCAGTAAGCCTCCCTCCCAGTGGAGTTCAAAGCAGCACTTTCATCATTGTTACAGGTGTTACAGCGACGTCCCCGCTTCTGCACTTTAGCACACTTACCGATCTTTTCCTTCCTCCTTCTTAGTTCAGACCCCTTCAGTGTGTTATTTTCCTTTGCTCTATTTTTGAAAGTACCGCTAGTGCCCTTTCTCTTGTTAATATGCATCGAAAAATTTAAGAAAAATGACTTCATTTCTGCCTTTCGGTGGCTCCTATTGTGGTTCCCCTCGTTCCTGCTCGCGCTCACCAGTTTTTTTGTGTTCTTCGGAATTGTCTCTCTGGTTGGGGTATTCAATGTAGACACTACCCCCTCCGCTAAGCCCGAAACGCCATCATTTTTCTTTACCCTCGATTTTTTTAACTTCTTAGCATTTGCACTCAGCACAGTCGCTTCTCTCACCTTCTCCCGTGCGCTCCTTAATTCGCTATCACTACAGAGTATCTGTGTTGTGTTGTTCTTTCCATTTTCCCCTTTCGCAGTACTAACAGTTGTATCCTCTTTTTTTCCCCTTTTGACCTGAACCAAATGGGCAGGCTCCTCCTTTGCTATGACATTTGCCCCTCTTCCATGCCCATCCATAGCTCCCCCCTTGCATGTTTCTTCAAAAGTGCCTCTCTTACTATCTTCACGAGGAGGGAATATTTCCACACTTTTTTTTCCCCCTTTCATCATTTCTCCGTTTGGGTGTGCCTTATCAGCGCAGAGGTCACCCTGTTTGTCTGACACCTCAGCGTTAGATCCCTCGTTCTCATAATCCCCATCCACGGTGTAATACCTGCGTACATCCTCTCTCCCGCCACTGTCACCCCTATTGTCATCCTTTCCGTTACACCCAGCATCCTCTTCGACGTATCCTCCCCCTTCTGCATCTTCTTCTGCATCTTCTTCTGCGTCTTCTTCTTCATCTTCTTCTGTATCTTCTTCTGCTTCCTCCTCCCCCTCTCTGCTTTCCCCTAAATCGCTGCCCCCGCCGAACAGGTCCTCATCACTGTCGACCTCATACTCTATGGTGTGGGTTTCGATGAAGTTCATTATGTTTTTCTTGCTCACGTTGCCATTGCTATGGAACCAAGGGTTCCTTCTGCTATCCACTCCGTTTAGCGGCATCAAAGGGGTTAGCGGTGAGTCCCTTACCTTCCTAATGCTACCCTTGTTCAAATTCCACTGGTACAGCAATGAATTAAAGGACTTTCGTTCGTACTCGTTGTAGATGCTTTCTATTCCGGCGTAGGTAGTTGCATGCTCATTGAGCTCAACTTTACTAGCATCATCTTGGTTGGATTCCTCTTCGTCCGTGTTTCCCTTCTTCATGGTGTCATCTGGAATGTTCTTACCTTCCCAATCGACGCATAGATTATCCTCGGGGACGACCTCTCCACTACCACCGCTAGTCCTCTCAAAATAGGACTCGCCCTGACCCAAAAAATTTTCAAAATAGAACTGCTTCATCTTCCGTAGCCTCTTCCTACTTTCATACTTATTCGTAATGTATTGAAAAAAGACAAACTTCCTCAAAAAGTACAACTCCTTCTGCAGTCTTCGTATATCCTCCTCATACACATAGGCGTTGTTACCCCTGCTCTCGACTTGTATCTTCTTTGCCCTCGAAACTAGCTTCAACGACGACAGTGTGTCACGGACATTTCTCATGCATGAAGATATGGTGCATATAAAAACAGTTTTGCTGGAACCTCCCAGAGAATCCTGTAGCAGTCTCGTCAAAATGGAGTTTCTGTAACTGATGTTTTTATTCCCCTTGGACAATTCGTTTATGCATAGGGACAGGGCAGATAAACTCCTATTGATAGAACAGACTTCTGTGGTGTATAGTTTTTCATTAGACGCTGCATACTTTTCATTCCCAGCCAAGTCAATTAGCAACAAATTTCCTGACTTAAAACATTCAGGCTTCGAAGGATTCACATGTCGTAACTCTATTTTAAATATCGAATGGGATCTTGTTGACATTTCATTCGTTTTTGTGATTCTGCATGCTCTGTTACTTGTACCATCTATCAGGAGCTCCATCAGCTCTTCACAGCTGGCTACCTCCACGGTTAGCAAACCAGAGACAAACGTGGCGCTGTTGGAAAGCTTAGACTTTTGAGTGCTTAAATAGGGCTGCGATTCCGTACACGGATTTAACAGGTCAAATATTCTATCGTTATATAGTTGCATGTAAGAGACGTACACCTTCACGTTTTTAAATACCTCCTTCGTTTTCTCCGCGTGAGGGTTGCGGACCCCGTTAAAGTTACCGCTTCGACAGTCACGTAGATGATTGCTTCTATCATCGCTCCTGTCACCTCTCTCCCCATGATGTGCCTCCGCCTCACCGCCAACCCCCCTCTGCAGGGACAATCTGCTCATTATTTCCTCACACGCCCTGGGAATCATCCCCTTCGTGTCTGAATTCAAAATCAGCCGAATTTCGTCCTGCAAATACTTCACATTAGGCTTATACTCCATTCGATACTCGGAAAACGTTTTGCAGTTTTCGTACTTCCCATAATAGCTGCTCTCACTCATGCACTCCGCATTTGACTTGTGATAGTACCTAGCATTTAGGGGTCCGTTTGGGGCGATGTTTGTGCAGCTGTTCTTGGTGCTATTCGTGCGGCTGTTCACGATGCTGTTCCTTGTACTGTTCCTTGTAATGTTCACTGTACTGTTCCCGCTGCTGTTCGCAGAAGTGTGCGCCGCGTTACACTGCGCGCTGCACGACGATTCGTACATTTTCCTATAAGTGCAATAGTTCCCATTCACCAGGGGGATTACTCTCGGAGGGAAGTTAAAGATGGGCTGCGAGCAAGACCTCTTTCTCTCGTACAAGAAGTTGTTACTGCTGTTGTTGCTGTTGCTGTTGCCGTTTCCGTTGCCGTTTCCGTTGCCACTAGCACTACCGCCACCCCCATTTGGAAGCCTCAAACTATTCGTATTGAGTAACAATTCAATCGGTTGCATGAGCCTAGCGGAGTGCGGGATCCTTCTCTTCTTCCTTTTAATTAGCTCCATGACGTCTGGACCAATCATAGTATAAGTTTTCCCCGTCCCCGTATGGCCATGCGCGAACACAGTTGCATTCTTAAAATGGAAAACAGAGTCTATGCAAAAACAAATGCTCTTCCATATGTCCGATTGCGTACTTCCTTCATTGAAAATTCTATCCACGACAAATTCACATTTCTTGTTTTCACTCTGCACTCCGTAATTAATTAATATTTTGTTTAATCCTCTCTGCGTGATTACATTTTCTAGATTTTTCCCCACAGAATCTAGCGGCTTAATTCTAATGCATGTCTTTATTTGCGACTTTTTCCAGTTCATGTCTAGATTGTTTCCCGAGGTATCATCATACCTTTCTGATATCTTGTGGACATTCTTATCTTTTTTTTGTCGCAAAACTGATTCGTTTTGCTCAAACTTGAGAAGATTCCCTTCTTCCGGTTCCCTCTTCTTGTCATTTTCACTTTTGTTTGTTTGGCATGTACCTACTTCGTTCCTTATGTACATATTCCCTTCGTTCTTTTCCAGTGCATTAAGGCTAATCATATCATCTGTGCTGGGTTGGCCTTCTCGAGTTGGTTGGCCACCCCCTTTGCATGTTCTTTTGCACAAGTTAACGTAGCCTTTCCCTTCCCTTTCGGCGCAGGAATTGCTAGACCCAAAGGAACACTCCGTCTCGTTTCCCTCATCGTTATTATCCACATTTAGAGTGCTCTGCTTAGAGAATTCCTTATATTTATTTCTCTGGCAGGAACGGTCATTATCGCTGTTGTATTCCACCGTTACGCTCTTGTCATACATTTTGTCGGGTACGTCCACGAAGGGGGTGCTCGAGCGACTCCAGTTACTGCCTGGGTTGCTACTGCGGCTGCTACTTCCACCGATGTTCCTCCTTCTGCTTCCATCATCGGTTCTTTTAAAAGGCCCTGCCCCATTGATTCCCAACATTTCTGAGGGAGCCCCTAACGTGAACACACTTTCACAGTTCCGCGCTTCATTGTTCTCGTCCATTATAAGGCTGTTCTTCATTTGCAGTTGAAAAGCAGCACAGTTATATGCTTCCCTCACGTGGATTTTACTCTACGTCAGCGTTTGCTTATTGTCTGCTAAGGCAAATAGTTGTCCTTTACTGTGTTTAAGTCCCCCTGAATGAAGCTACGCGCAGGTATGAATACGCCTATATATATACACACGTGTAGTGTTAAAACCTTGGGGGGGACTAAAAAGAGACTTCCAGGAGGGATATATTTGCAGCAATAGAATAATTTCAAAATGGCGCTCGCATTTTAATGTCCTCAACTTTAAACACTTTCATGGTTGCAGCGTGTTTCGTGCCTTGGTGGAGGGGGGAATTCAGAAAGGGACAAATTATAGGTGCCCAAAAGAATGTACTACGTCTATATATATACATAAGTACATAGCAGCGGCAATTAAATGTGGACGTAAAAACAGTTTGCCATATGGGTGTCCCGGAAGGGAGGCACGCGCGGAACAAAAAAAAGGGCTCTGTTTAAGCACAGACAAGGAAATGTGTAAGCTGGTTGTTTAGCTCCTCTTCTTTTTTTTATTTTTCCTTTTTTTTTTTTTTTTTAAATTATTTTCACTTTTTTGGCTTCACGCGCAGCTCTTGCTAAAAATGCAGAAGCTTCGACAACTGTGTGTAGCGTAAAAAGGGAAATTCTCTATAAAGCTAAATAGACGCAAAATGAAAATCCCCTCTTTTTTTTTTTTTTTAACAAACTTGTGAAGGTATGTCGGGCAAACAATTTTCATAATCATCCGCTAGACATCGGTATGTTACCCCACGGACGCGCGCTGTTTTTGTTTTTTCAAGAATTAGAATTTAATTGGGAAATCATTCCTCGTTCAGGAAAACAAACAAAAGCAAAGTAAAGCGAAGCGCATCGAAACAACGGAAAGAAACGCGACGCAACGAAAAACAAAACGTGCGCGTCAAAATGGAAGGGGTGAACAAACAAAAATGTCCACTCAGTGCGGAAAAGTACAAAACATACAAATGGCAAAAGTGTTAGTTACGCCCAAAACAAAAAAGACGTTCTTTAATCTTAAGGAAGTAATTAAACCTTTTTATTCCCTGAGGAGTTCTCACACAACTCGTTATTGTTTTTCTTCCTCATCATTTTTACATACAAGTCCGCTTTGCAATTTTTTTCCGTACGCACTTGTTCTTGTCCCGGTCGTTTCGGACATTTTAGCTTTTTAGCTTTTTGGCCGTTTGGCTATTTGGCTGTTTTGGCTGCCGAAGAATTTTTTTTTTTCCGCACATCCCAGGTAAAAAGCTTTCTAAAGACGAAGAAATTTTCTGAACGGGTCAGGCAATATTTACTATTTTAGAAAAAAAAAAAAAAAAAAAAAAACTTTTCACTATTCGCACACTAGTAAAGCATTTTTTTTCTTCTTAACCCACATGGCATACAAGTGTGTATCCACATTAATGCGAAGAACTGTAGAATAGTGAAAAAATATCCCTCGTCTTTTAAACCGGACCACAATGTTAATCCCGTTGTTTTTTCCCCGCGGATCAAAGGGTTCCACCGTTACCGCTCGCAGAACATGTCTATGCCTCAAGGGTCTTCTCAAAAGGGAACTACAATCGAGCTGTACGTCCCTATTAAGAAAGACAGACACATATGAAGAACGCTAAGCTTTTAAACAATGGGCTAAATGTGTATATTGTCATTTTACAAAAAAGGGAAAATATAGTGAGTGAAGCAAATCGCCCACTCGACAATTACCATAGTGCTACTTCAAAATAGTGATTTTTGCTAAGAACAAATTTTGTCATACACCCGAATTAATGTATCGCCAATTTCGTGAACAATTTTCGGAAAGGGTCAATTTTGTAATAAATTCCAAGTGGTGTGGAATTCCCGAGAACCAGTTGCACACACATGTGGGTATGCATATCTATACCCCCATGTGTTTTCATATATTTTTTTTTCTTCTTCTATATACCCATTGCACTTCATTTTATCCACATTCCAAAGTTACATTTCTATCCATGCGCATAAGGGGGGAGGCCTCTTCCGTCAAAGAGAAAAAAAATGAAATATATAAAAAAAAGAAATTAAGAGAATAAAATCCTTTCCCCGTTTTCCACGTTCCCGAAAAAGTGAAACAAGGAAAACATCGCTCTTAAGTAGCTTTTTGCGAGGATGCATTTCCTGTTTTGTTTTTCTAAACAATGTTAACTTCCCCGTAGCTTGCTTTTCGTATCCTCGAAATTATGTCACACAAGGGAAAACAAAACTATTTGGATTGTGGGGTGCTACCCGCCGACCACTAAAAATTCACCTCTACAAGTGGAACGACTCGGTTGCACAGACGGTTCCTGAGCGTTGGGACAAAAAGCAAAGAAATTAGGTTTACCAAGAAACTTCATTATATACCAAAAGGGGGGGTTCATTTTTTATCTTTTACATGCGTGTGGAGATTATATGTTCGGATATTTGCACATTTGTTGTTTTTTTTTTTTTATGAACAAAAATGAACAGCTATGTCCTACATCATTTTTTTCCCCTCACTTTTTGTTCCTCACATTTTATACCACTTTTTTTTTTCCTTTGAATTTTAAGGTTTTCTTTTTTTTTCTGCAAAACACATAATGCACTGCTTTTTCAATTCCTTTCTCTTATTTGGGGTATGCACGCATCGTTTATTGCTACCTCACTCTCGCACTTTAATTCGGACATATTTTTTTCCATACCCCTTTGAAGCGAAACGTCAACATTGCCGTTATTTTTCCCGCATTACGTGTTGGATCTCTCAAGGCCTTTTTTTTTAAGCAGCACATGTAACCGTACGTGTACACATCCATACAAGCGCATGTGTATGTACATCGAGTTGGTCCTCCCCCCCTCTGCACTCTGCATTAATTCCTCAGCCTACAGAACGGATGTTTTGAGCAAGGCTCTTCCGGATTCCTGCTTAAACGAAGCGGACTTTTTAAAAAACAAAAAAAACAAAATTGGCGAAAACCATAACGAGATGACACTGAATAATGAGGAAAATTTCCATCCCACAAATTTAGGCACCAACGGGACAAGCGACGGACAAAGCAGAAGCCTCCTCAGCGCGAATAGCATCCAAGTGGTAAGCAAAGAGGACGACAACGACGATGACAACGATGATGAAAACAATGGTAACAGAGATGGTAACAACAATGGTAACAGAGATGGTAACAACAATGAGAACAAAGATGACAACTCAAATAGTGCAGACAGCGTCAAGGTGAATCCCCAGCAAACGACTCTGAAAGAAAGAAGCAACCGCTACGTGAACGGGGCGAGCGCAAACGGAAGGAGCAACGGAACAGAAGGCGAACAAGAGGGAGAACTGCACATCGTGTACGCCTACGTGCTGAGTGACTCCAAAAAAACAATCCTCTCCAACACTGAACTCATATCCATACACATATCCACACACACATCCACGGAAAAGGATAAAAACTATACAATAAAAATGAAAATAAAGAAATTGCCCTCTCTGAGAAACGGACACTTCTTATGTGTGACAAAAAATCGGGAAATCCTTGCCATAGGGGGAAGTGATGGGAAAAAAAAATACGGACTGGTTGAAAAATTCTGTGCAGAAAAACAGACATGGAAACAAATAAACCTCATGCATTTTCCAAGATCCAATTTTTGTGGAGTATGTACAGAAGATGATGACCTTTTCATTTTAGGAGGGGAAGGCAATCACCACATTTTAAACAGTGTAGAATACTATGACAGCAAAATAAATTCGTGGAGGTCCCTTCCCCCTCTCAACTGTGCCAGACACTCTGCCAGTGCAGCCATCTTTAAAAATATGATTTTTATCCTTGGGGGAAAGGACGGAATTGGAGACTATGGCAAGGTGCACAAAAGTATGGAAATGTTAAATTTGAAGGACAAAAAAATGAAGTGGATTATGGGTAAGCCTCTAAAGCAGGCGCGTCTCGGCCTTTCGACTGTGGTGTTCCAGGACAAGCTGTATGCCATAGGTATGTAAGAAGGGTCACCTTCGGTGTGGAAATTTCCCGTGTGTACCCCCTGTGTACCCCGTGTGTACCCCGTGTATGCCCCATGTGTCCCCCATTTCCATTTCTTACAGTTTTGTAAAGTGTAGGTGAAGATAAGGGTCTTTTTTATGAACCCATACTCCGCATTTACCAGATATAGTTGATTACCCTTTTCCAATTCGTAGCTCCCATTTGGGAGCGGCACAACTTAACATTTTCATTTATACCTTTTTTTTTTTATCTCTTTTCCCTTCAAGGCGGATCAACTGGCGTGAAGGATCTCAGCTCTGTCGAAATATATGACTTTCAGACGGGCGAATGGAAGGAGGGACCCAGTTTAAACTTCTCGCGTTCGAACTTTGTCGTGTTTGTTTGGAACAACCAATTGGCGGCATACGGAGGCGTCAGAAAGAACCGGGGGGTAATCAACTACATGTGTATATCTGAGCCCATGGGAATATACCCACATTTTCCTCTTATGCAAAGGGACAAATGGAGGGGGAGACCGAGAATTTACTCACGTTGAAGAAATGTCACAAGGCGTTGCTTTGTGAGGAGCCCCCAAGGAAATGTTTTTCCTCCTCCCCCCCGGGGGCACGGATTTCATACCCATCGCTACCCCCACACACATCGTCATTCATTTTTCCCCTTCCATAGGATCTTATAAAGAAGGCCGAAATACTAAACGAAGAAGGGACACGTTGGCTGCTGCTGAATGATGATGGATCACAATAAAGTAGGTGCTAATAATAATTTAGAGGGTAGACACGAAGGAAGTAATAACTTATTCCTACTATATCAATTAACGCTGCGTTTCGGCAGATAAGTGTGGAGACTCCAACGCCCCGTTATAACAGCGTTGTGTTTTTTTTGTTACAAGGCGTTAACAAAATGACAGTTTCCTTTTTCCTCCCCCCGTCCACTCCTCTTTTTTTTTTTTTTTTTTGGTATTCGATTTTATGATGCCTCTTTTTGGGTTCAGCGGATTTTCCCTTCTTAAAATATACTTTGGGATAGGTGTGTCGTTGGCGGCCAACTTTTGCAACTACCAAAGTGTTCACAGGCATGGGCGAGCATAAGGCGGAGAAATGGACGCAACGTTGGATGGACATATCTGTGAAGAGTCCCCTCCTGACAACTCATGTGATGCTTTCTATTGCGTCGGGACTGTACATGCAGGGGTTGCCCACTGATATGGGAGGAGCATCATATATATATTATATATATAGCGTCTTTCCGCACACGTAAAAGGGTTACTCAGCCCAGCTGATTTGTTTCTCTGGGGTAGATATAACACCATACGGTGTTGCACTGTTTGACATGTAATTGTAGCTCTGATTGGCTCGTTGAATACGCCTATCAAGTTAAAGAAAACGCAGAATCATACAAATATACAATTCGCCCCCCTGTATGGGAAAAAAAAAAAGAAAAAAAAATCGCTAAGAGAAAAATTGCCTTCTTTTCTCTAACATTTTAACGTCAATCCACCGCCTCACATTTCGTGTTTTTTTTTTTTTTTCTTCCCCACTTTTACAAGTACCCAGGAGGATGGCTCATGTCATCACTTTTGATTGCATTTATTTTTTAAACTGAACAGTTTTGCTTGTTCCTTCTCGGTAGCAGTGACCTCTCTTACAATTTCGAACGAAAAAGGTTGCAAACGAAAAGAGTAGAAGATTTGTTTTTTTTTTTTAACTGTCAACGAGTAGCCGCTTTCTTCATGGCCTTCTTGGAAATCTCACAAATGAACGACCAGACCTGAGAGGAAAGGCACAAAATGGCCTTTTAGTGAAAGCTCCCACCTCAACGCCCCTCTTCCTTCTACACTCTCGTTTTAAGGGAATCTAGAATACGAAAATGCCCAATTCGAAGAGGAGTGTACCATAAGAATAGGGACATAGTTTGCTATGTTCCGCCCCTCCTAAAGGGGAGATGTTCTTCCCCCCGAGTTTGACACGGTGGAAAAGGGGCCTCACAGAGAAGGGGCGCCTAATGTTTCTCGAAATAATCTTTCACACTGAGATCCCTCGCAGATAAGGGGTGCACATTTATACCTCTTTGCTTTCCCCCAATCGAGCAGAGTAGAAAAGCCACATCACCATCCACAACAGGGGACGACCATCCCTTTCGGGAACAGCTGTCATTTTTGCTTCTCCTCGTAGAAAAAGCTAAGAAGCGACCAGCCTAGGGCCTGCCCCTCCTTGTACGCACGTGTGAGGACACAACCATCTGTGGCTGAAACTGTACAGAGGAGGATAAAACGAAACAGACATGTGTACAGCTATGTGTTCATATACTTCTACCCACGTGCACCCCTTCTCATGTGTACGCTCCTAACGGTCAGGATACGAAGGGACAAACGAACTAACGAAGCAAAACAAACATGGACTACTTCTTCGTGCTGAAGAAGCAGGACCTCTCGGTCAATATTGACATGCACAATGAGAGAATCGAAGGGAGCACCACCATGACCCTGGCCCTGTACATGCCCATTTATTATCTTTACGATGAGGAAGATTTTGCCAAGGTCAACTATGACATTAACAAAGTTCGAATTAGGAGAGACACATACTGCTGTGAAGGGGGTGATAGCCAAACGGGGGAAGAAGAAGAGGAGGACGAGGTGCAGGGAGAAGATGAAGGGGGGGACACCATAGATCCAGGGGATGGCCAAATCACCCAGGGGAGAAGAGGTGACCAAGAGGTGAGACACAACAAACATGGCAATCCTGGAAAGCACATCAAGCACGGAAAAGACAGAAAGAACAAGAAGCACTCCAGATACGCCGCGTTAAACGGAGGAGACTCACAGGAGGAGGCCTCGCGAGACGTCCCCCTACTGGAGGACAAAGCCTACGCCAAGTTTATGAAGAAAAAGAAAGAAAGAAAAATATTCGTCATTCTTGAAATGCCACACAAGATCAACTCGAGTTCTTACCAGGATGTTAAAATGAATGGAAAAGAACAGGAGAGGTACTACATCATATATAGCAGCTTGAGGCATGGGAACGAGCCCTATGCCCAAGGTGACGCCGCAGGGTGGGCAAATCGGAAGTATGGCCAGTACGGTGCGGACGGCCATCGCGACCAGCACTGCCGTTATAACTTGTATAAACGTATTGGACACAGTGAGATGCCAGGTCAAGGCGCAGGAGAGAAAGAGGCGGGACCCCCAGACGGCATAGCAACAGATGGAGAAACAGAAAAGAGGGAAAACTCCAAGTTGAAGTTAAAGTTGAAGCAAGTCAATTTTGCTCACTCGAATGGACGCAGTAATGAAAATGGAGAACTCGCCAAGGGTTATGGATACCCCCCCTGGGAACACACCGAAGGGGGGGAAGACGACGGATTTCCCGATAATCACAACAGAAAACGCATCCCAAACATCCTAGACTTGGTCTCCTTAAACAAATACACAGAAGAAAATCACCTCCAGGGGAACAACTACATGTTCATAACGATAGAAGACGAAATATGGAACAAGGAAAAGGAAAAAAATTACAACAACTGGAAAAATTTCTGTCAAGGAGAAACAGTTACAGTAAAGAGGAAGGGAGAATACCACGTGAAGATTATAATAGAAATAAGTCTGACATTTTCCTTCTTCAATTTATCATCCTCCTTTAACAATCTCTATTTTAACAGAAGTGAAAACTTACTGCTAGCATTACAGAACTATGCCTGTAACTGCGCTTGGTTCCCCACTTTGTCAAAAATGAATAGCATTTATGGGAGATGCTCTTGGAGACTTCTCTTCAAAATTGAAAAACCCTACGTGGTTATATCGTCCAACAGTCTAATAAATGTGTACGAGGTTGGCAATGCGAACTTCTTTCTTTATAAGTCGAGTAATCGAAATGGCAAATTGGCTCCCCATGAGATCTCTCTCTATGGTGGTAGCTTCGATTTCCTTCACTTAAATAATCTAAACCTTAAAGATTTCCACAAAATAAATTACGAGTTTTTGTACAAAACGGAGACGGGCTCTAGAAGTAACAAATTCTATTCGGCTGATCAGTACGGGAAGGCGAAGGGCAAAGGGGGGGGAGGTGACTCTGGCAGGATGGAGAAACTCACAGAGGGTACGATGCCGCCCTCCAGGGAGAACATCTTCTCTGGGGGAAAGACCAAACGGAGGTCTTCAATGAAGCGGTACTACGTCGACTCGGAGGAGAGCAGCGAGGAGGCCATTAATGTGGACAACGCAGACGGGGTGAATAATGCAGATGGTGTGAATAATGCGGACGGTGGGAACGATGCAGACGGTGAGAACGATGCGGATGGTGGAAATAATCCGGACTGTGTGATACTGGTTGGTCACACCGCCGCCCCCCCCACGAGCGAGTACCGCGAAAAAGGCAGCACGAAGAAGAAGGAGTGCTGCAGCTACTACGAACGAGTGAAGGATAAAGTCGTGCCAAACATATTCATCTTCACCTTAAAAAATTACAAAGACGAAATGGTGCATTCCAGTTATCACATCGGATACGTACTGCGAACATTTCTCGAGATGAGTAAAGAAAGCTTCCCCTTCGAAAACATCACAGTTTTATTCCTCCCTCTAGCCTTTTTAAATTTCGAGAATTACCCCTCGTCGGAAAGTATCGAATGTTCCATCAGTGCCCACACCTATGAGGATATGAAGAATGGTTACAGTCTCTTCGCCAACAGTAACCTGTTAAATGCAAAGTTATCCGAACCTTATATTTTTCTCGGCAACAATAAGTATTTTATCTTTGGAAATGTTATTGTATTCTCCACTCAGATTTTGCACTCCTTGTATGACACCCTTTTTAACATAAGTCTGTATAGTTACAAGATTGTCATGGCAGAAGGGCTGCTCTCTCTTTGCTTTGACCACTACGCGGACGTAGTGAAGGACGAAAATATCCACGTGGTGTCTATGCTCAAGTGCTTAATCCTGCAGAAGTATTTGGAGCAGATTTTCGGGACGATCGAAATGAATGTCATTTTTTACGAGCTGAGGGAGAGATACTGCTCCGTCGTGGAGCTCTTCGGTGATGTGAATTTGTTTTACCATTGTAGTAAGGACAGGGGGAAATCCTTCACGTCGTCGCAAGTGTGGAAGACGCCTGCCGAGACAGCGTCAACCCACTCTAACATTCCACCCATGGGGGATAATGTCCCCACCTACAGCCGATCCCCCTATGCGATAAACCACCTGTTCTTCCTTAAAGCGTTCCTCTGTGTCCGGATTTTCTTCAACATATTGAAGACCTTCTCCTTCTGTGCGTCCATTCACCAATACTGCTTTTCGCTCTTCTTTTCCTACGTCAAGCGGAACGGACGGGTGATCAGTTCGTCCAAGTTTTGGAAGCAGGTGAGGCGAAGCGGTGCACGTCACTGCAGGGCGTCGATCCGTTAGAGGCTACCAAATCGCTTCACCATGTACATTCATCCGTTCGCGCCGACTGCATCTGACCAATCCGATTGCATGTCACCACGTTGGCCCCTTTCCCACCGCCGCCACACTGCAGGTCCTCGCCGAGTGCACGCGGAGATACATAGAAAGCTACAAGCAGCTCCCCAAGAACAAGTTCAAAATGAAGAAGATCGACCTGCACGCTAACTCCAGCGAACTCAGGACAGACGAGCACGAGCAGTATCAGCTCCTAGAAAAATATTTCTCGCAATTCCTCCAAACGTACATTAAGGGCTACGGAGTCTGTCAGTACATCCTAACATTCAACGTGCACCTACAGAGAAAAGGGACTTCCATGGACAGCTTCAATTTTCTGGTGAGCCAAAACTCCATTAACCCCTTCAACTTTGTGAATGAGAATTTCCACTCTGACTACTTCCTTGCTGAGATGGCATCTACCAGTGTGTACAACCTTCTGGAGCTGAATAAGCACATCGATTCGAAGAGCGATACACATGGGGGGAAGCACAACAGTCGAAGGAACAAAATGATTATGCACGATTATCTGGACAGAATCTACTACGATAAGCTCTCCGAAAAGGGGTCCCCAAGTGATTACTTCCACCATGATTTGGAGAAACACTTCCTCACCTTTTTAAAGCAAAAGAAGAACATTCAGGCAAACCACTTTTATGAATATCATGAGGACCTGCTCAGCCGGAAAGCCAACGATTTGCTAAACAGATACGTCATGAAGAGGAAGCCTAAAACTTTTTCCTTCCTCCCGAGTGCCACGCTTAGGAAGATGGGGCTCCCCGACGTGATGAGCACCACGCGTAGTAGCAAAGTTATCAGGCGCAGAAACCCCATCGGCTATGTTCCCAAGAGGGAGGAACAGGCACTTCGCGAACCAGAAGTCACAACCCCCCTTCAGAGTGAAAACGAATATAATTGGTCTAGTGCAAATCGCCACACGGAAGGCTCAATAGAAGGTTACCCCCAGAATGACCAGACGGGGGGCGCTCTTTACAGAAGAGCGCCGTATAGTGAAATGATCAGCAGTGAAATGCCCCCCGGTGAAGTACCTCCCAGTGAAGTGCCCCCCAGTGAAGATGCTCCTGTGCAAAGCGACGTCTTCAAAAAAAGGAAGTCAAAAAAGAGAAAGCATCACGAGAAGGAAAAGAAAAAAAAAAAAAAAAAAAAAAAAACCATTCCAATAGGGAACAAACTACAACTGTGGACGACCTAATCAGGGCAGAAAAATTAAGGAAGCGTCTAAGAATATGCAGAAATTATATTTTAAGAAAAAAAAAAGAGTTAATCAATTTGCCCTACTCTAATTATGATAGCTTGGAACTCATCGCAAGGGATGGAAACTTCTACCTTGGTTTCGGATACGTAGGGTCCGATGACCTCGCCTTGACCACTGGGAAAGGAAACCTGTACAATAATATCATCGCGTATCAGAAATTTAAAAATTGTAATGTGAAGAAGCTAAGTGAGTTGTGTGTAGACAAGCATCACATCCATGAGTACAACAGCACAACTCCCTTCCACACCAGTTGCATCTACCCGCAGTGGAGAACGACCCTTCGCTTGTTCTACTACCTGCACCTCCTGGGAAAAATTCAAAAAAAAAAGAAGCTCCTAAGACGCGCTAATGCTCCCGCGCTGGAAGCCAGGGAAGAAGACGAAATTGACATTTTAGGCCATCGGGACAAACACGCGGAGGGGAAGTTCCATGCGGACAAGCAAAGGAGAAAGAAGCAAAAAAAGGAGAGGAAAAGAAAGGAGAAAAGAAGAGACAGATACGGGGGGAGCCGCCACGACGGCGCCCGATACAGGCACAGGAAGAGAAAGAAGCGGAAAAAAATGGACACAATGGAGAGTGTGAAAAGTGTAGAAGACGTGGAAAGCGTGGAATACGCCAGAAGCGTGGAAAACATGGAATACGTAGAACAAGCGGATCGGGCGAGAGGTCTGCCGAACGGTGGAGAAGACGACGAGGAGGAAGAAGAAGAAGCGCAGCGGGGGGGATATGGCGGCGACGTGAATGCCCTCAATCACCCAACTTACAGCACGCTCCAGAGTATCACTAGCATCAATTTTGACTATCCGTACGCAGGGGACGTGATGGGGGGGGAAGAAACCGCCACGCCGTACGATCCCATCTTGGATGAGGAAGTGTCCGTGGGGAAGACCCAGAGGAAGCCCAAAGGGGAGTACATAGATGAGATAAGCCAAATGGAGGGTGACGTAGCGGTGGACGGAGAGGCGGACGCATCTTCCTACCCAGCGGGTTACTTACCTCGCGGAGGCGAATCGAAGAAGGAAAAGAAAAAAAAAAGGGAAAAGCGAAAGATCAAGAAAAGCAAGGAAAAGATAAGAACCATGAGGGATCTCCTCCTGAACAACAAACTGTACGCGGAGAACTACCTTAACCCCTATGTGGCCAACAACATGCCAATCTCCGTAGACGAAAATAAGTTCTTCTTTTGCTTTCTGAAGATAGAAATTGTGGAAGATGACGGAGTAAGAGTCATCAGAAAAAATCTACTCGAGAACGTTACTCCGACCCGATTCAGTGTAAATGCCAGACCCGAAAAGGGAAGGAAAAAGGTGGCCTTCAAACATGAGTCCATATCTATGTCCAACCATGAGCAGTACGTGAGTGGAAACTCCTTCGATGCGTTTGACAGCTATATGAACGAAACGGTTAAGTTCATTGGAGTTACAAATGACAGTGATAAGCACATGATTGAGTATTGTAAACAGAAGGTCCTGAGGAAGGACAAGTCACTGATGTGTCTTGATAACAGAAAATTAGTTGCCAAGATTTGTAGCAAAGGTAAGATTCCTCTACTCTGGATTAGAATAGATAATGACTTTTCCATCTTGGGGAGAATTAGAAGGACGCAAAGTGCCAGTATGTGGATTCAGCAGCTGCTCAATGACAACAATATTTTCTCGCAGCTGGAGTCGTCCTTCGCCTTGGCCTTTATCCCCTTCTTTTTCCTCCAGAGGAATGTAGCAGGGGGGGAGGCAGCGGGGGACGTACCAGCAGCAGCAGCGGGGGGTGGAATAGGAGAGGCAGTAGCACCAGGAGTAGCAGCAGGAGTAGGCCCCGCAGTCGCAGCCGTGAATTATAAGACCGATCAAGACACCCATGCAGATAGCACACTCGGCATAAATATGCATGCCCATGCAGTAGGGGCCTCCAACTCAGGGACAAACCCACCACACGACATTGCAAATAGCGGAGATAACATCGGCGAAGACTCCATGCAGTTCATCCAATCTGTGCTCAGCACAAACAAAAGTGGCAAGCACAAAAAAAAGGATTTCCACATGGGGAATAACCCATTTAATGTTGCATCTGGTGCCACTCTAAATAATCAGCTCTTAAACGATAGCTATGACGTTTCACATGGACAAGAAAAAAATCCTCACAAGAATCGCATGCTCAACCGGGAAGTTACTTCCAAGTCTATAGTAAATCAGAACAACATCGGCGCCCACCAAAACTCCAAAGGGCTAATGAACAACATCGTGAATGCCAACTATGCAGGTTATGTAGCGGAGGAGGAAGAAGAAGACGAAGACGCCGCTTTGGAGCTACCCAACAGTGGCAACTATGAAAAAAGGAAAAGTGCAAATCCTGCTCGGATCTCGAGAAATGAAGAAGGTCCCATGAAGGATAAAATGAGAAGCAGTCTGGTGAACGATGGCAGAAATGATTTACTTAAAATGGATAGACTGTCAAGTCATAGTAGCAGTTCTGGAAGCGAGACAGATGTGTTGGACTGTAACTTTTCCACTTCCACTATCGACGATTTGAATGAAAATTCGAACGGATCAGAACGTAATTACTCATCGTCTAGTTACAAGAAACAGAAAAATTACAAAAAAAAATGGAGCAGAAAAATATCCATTGCAAATATTCCAATCAATGTTGAAGTGATAAAGTGTCTCTACAAATCCATAACGGCAACATACCTCCATTACATGGTAAAGATTAGGTGCATTTATTCCCTTTGCTTTATTCACAATAGGTTCCTATGCACTCAGAAGATTATTCAGAATTTGTTTCTGGACTATGCAGATGAGTTTTATGGAAACGATCTGAATCAGAAGAGGTTCATGCATGCGTTTTATGTTTCCATGTCTTTGTTAAGGAACAAAAATAACCGGACTCCCAAAATTATCATTTCTTTTTTCGCGCAAAAGTGCGCCAATTTTGTTTACTCCCTTAGTCTCAGTGACAAGCACCATTTGGTGCATGACGCCCGGGGGGCCACTACGGCACCCTCTCAAAGGGTGCCCCCTCAGGATACTTCTCCAAGAGAGAGTAACACAAATCGGATAGGAAAATGGCCTCAAAAGGGGGAACTGCAGGAGGAACCGCAGGAGAAGCGTCCGGAAGAACCGCGCGAACTCGCCAACGCGTCCAAAACTTCCTGTGCGACGTCCTTCCCGCTGATATTCCCGCCCACGATGAACGACGTGTACAGAAGCTACGACAACGTCAGCCTTAAGCAAGCAGATGCACAGAGGGGGTCCTACTCCGCAGTTTTGGACAAAGAGGGACCCCTCAAAGATTCCCACAATGAACCCGAAATGGACATTGTAGTGGAGAGAATTGCAACCCTGACGCAGGATCAGCACGAAATGTGCCAAGACGACGGAGACCTCTCCCGCAGGCGTACCCCCCATTCGTATAAAAACGCGCAGCAAAAACGGACAAGAAAAGTTACGTACGAGAAGGAGCTCCTCATTCAGAAGGAAGAGGAGGAGGACATCAAGATGGTGCTGGAATGCCTTGGCAACGTAAGGTTCAAAAGTGAGCATCTCCCCGTCAGCGACCATCTCAGCAGCATCCACAGCGCCGTATCAACCGGTACAACGAAAGACAACTCGATGAGCAACAAGGAGTACCTTTTTTCCGAGTACCTCTCCAATGCTACAGAGAGTCAGGCCCCCAACAGTGCAATCAACCAAGATAACATTTTCTGCAGAAAGAAAAAAAAAAAAAACTACCACACGTACGATTTCTGTAATATAGACATTTACAATAATGATGAAAAAAAATTGAAAAATCATTTCTTGAGATTAAAAAAAAAAAAAAAGAATATGTACAGGAACTAATAGGCGTCATATTTCTGATATACCAGCTGAAAAAGCTCTCCTCGTTTTTGCCCATTTCGGATTGGGTTATAATCATCCTCATTAGAACCATAGGTAGGAACAGAAGCATCCTTGACGCATTCAAACGGAAGATGTACTCGGAGTACAAAGACCATTTCGATTTTTGTAATTGTCTGCCCAGTGAATTTTCCCCCAGGGGGAGCGGATCCAATATGAGTAACTTCATTTCGGCGAGGAATGCAAACTGGTTTCGCCTCGAAATTGTGCGAGCTATTCTTCATTTGATTCTACATGGAAGCATCCGATTGTTTCAGGTATTTTATCGTCACACCCGTGAGGCGGACTCTCACGATGAGAAGCGTACCCAGGGGGGTCCTCCCAAATGGAAACCCGACTCCTTCGCAAGTGTCTACACAAAGGAAAATTACTTTTTCGTATCAGACTACACAAACTACGTGGAGAGGAAAACGATATGCAGCCATGTGCTTAACATTTACAGCGCCTTCCACTTCTGCCTCCAGATTGTACAACTCTATGATGATGCCCCGTTTGAAATGCTCCTATGGAACAGTCTGTACAATATGCTGCTCATATGCCAACAGAAACACCCCTTCTTCTTTTTACCATTCTCGAAAAGGTTCTCCAAATATTTTAAAGACTACCAGAAGAGAAGCTACTCCCCCTTCGAGTTTTACTTTTTGCTTTACGGCTTGAGTGATGTTAATGCGTTCGAAAAGGAGAATCACACTGGGGGGGGTAATGATCAGGGCGCTGCTCCTAATTACCGCGGCGGGGCTGTTAAAGGGGGCTCATTTACCGCCCACCCCCATGGACACTACCCAGCCAATGACCAGGTAGGAAACATTTTAAAGCAAAAATGCTGCTCCGAATTAACCACGTCAAAAGGGACAAAGGATGTTCATATCTACAAGTACAACATTGTCGGCTACATAAAGTTAATCACAATTTTGAGAAACGTCACGCACACAAAGAAACTGAAGAAGAATTTCATCCAAATGAGTTTTATCAAATATGTCGTCCGCTATCTGCACTCCCTTTTGAGATCCCTGATTATCTCTCTTTCCGCGGCAAATGTAAACTACTTTAACAATGCTATCCTTTTTGAGTTAAAAAACATTATGGCCTTTTTCTTTGGCTACGGCATTCCTCCCTGCTGCTCCACGGAGTACCCGCGCATCTACCGCCCGCACTACGACCAGTAAGCTTTCCCCCCCGTGTTTGAGCATTCCTCCCCAGGGGTCGTCACTCTGGACGAGAATCCAACCCCGAGTCTGCGAACACCAGTTTATCTCGCCACACCTACCGCTGCAAGCAGCTACGCAGCTACCGCTAGACGACGCTACACACCGCTACACTCCTACCTCCCCACCCAGGCTGCGAAGCATAGCGAGCAAAGGAGTCCAAATAAACGACGTTATTAAGTTCCTCCGGACATATTACGACAACGAGTAGGCGCCACAGGGAAAGAAAAAAAAGGAAGATCCCAAAAAGAAACCAAAAAGAACCAAAAAAGAACTAAAACAAAAAAAAACGCACACTTACGTGCCCCTCTCCACCACAACGTGACAACCCTAATGCGACTTCTTCCACCCCACCCATTTTTAGTAAACTCCTCGAGTGGAAAATCGTCGCGTCGGAATTCATTAACGTCTTAAAAAACATGAAAGAACTCCAACTCTTTGTGGACAGCCCAACCGTGTCTTTGCAAAATTTTAAGTAAGTCCCGGCGAGTGCAAAAAAAGGCCTCCCAAGGCCGGACGTGGCAGACGCGTTCCTTCAAATAGAGCTCGCCAGTCGATGTGCTTCAATGTGTGCATATCTCCGCCTCTGCGAATGTCTGCCGACACTTATGTGTCTCTTTACACACAACACTTCCCTCCTGTGCAGTTTCGTCAAAGAGGACACTTGGCTCACTCTGATCGGCGCCAAGCTACGGAACGACATTTACAAATTACCCATGGACCTAAAAAGAGACATAATGCTCCTTCTGAAGAACATCCGCATGGTCGACATGTGCCGGGGGACGAAACACTACGAGCACATCAACAACATCTTTACCGTCTGCTGGTTTATCATTGTGAAAATATTTCAGAATTATGAAAAGAGCAAGTGATGGGGACGGCACGGAGGCCACGCTAGACGGACACGCTAAGCGGTCGCGCGAGTTCCATCAGCACGCTTTCCTTCATGACGCACTTAAGTGCATCCCCCCGCAGGAGTTAGTGCGGCCGTACTGACGCAATGGTTTCTGAATCAACTCCTTTACCTCCACATTTATTTTTATTTCGTTCTTTTTGGTCCTCTATTTCGAACTACACTTATTCTCCTGCAAACAGAAGACGAGTGTTTCTTTTTTTTCTTTTGCCACAAAATGTACCTGCGCGCACGAAGACGAAGCACCGATTTTATGTGCTCATGTCCCATTCTGACGAAAGCCTCATCGCAGTGGCGGAGAATGCAACTGGCGAGTTTTTTTTTAACGTGAGTACCTCATCAAATGAATACCATATGAGGAGAGTCCTCTGTTTTTTTTTTTTTTTTTTTTTCCTGACTACATTTACAAACTTTAAAGCAAACGCAGCTGTTCATAGGTTGTGCAGAAAAAGGCGGGGGTGTAGCCACTGGCCGTTATTCGTATTTTTTTTTTTTTCCATCTTAGGGGGCTGCTAAACTGGAGAAAATTAATCCATGTAAGTTGGAAGAACTTGGAGAAAGTGGCCAGGCCACGCAGCTGTGGCACCAAACGAAATGACCACGTCAGATGGATAACCAATTGGAAAATACACCGTGATGGGCCGCCTAGTCCAAATAGTGATGTTGCGCCTCATTTGTTACCTCATGAAGCAGCAGGTTAAGATCCCCTATTCAAGTCTGTTCACCCGTTCAAGGGGTCGATCGGTAGGCAACTATTCTCATACAACATTGCGCATTATGGGGGAATGCAGTTTGTCCCGCTTTCAGCGTTGTCCTTCGCCCGATGTATATACAGGGGCATGTCCCTCACCCGGTCAGTTCGTCCCCATGGAAAACTACACCCTCACGTCCATTTCTACTTCTCTTTTGTTCCTCCTTTTGGCTACTCTGTGGTTTATCTGGTTGGCCAATTTATCAGCACTTTTGTCCTCCATCCGGCATCATTTTCCCCCTCTCGTTCGCCTCACTTTTCTTTTTTTTTTTTTTTTTCCACGTTGCACACAAAAATGGAAAAAAAAAAAATTCACCGCCTTCAAGGGGGTGGGAAGCGGAAAATAAGCCGTGGGCGTCATGATGTGCCTCCTTGCTTTCCTTTCATTTTGAATACCTTACATACATGATATTCCCAAATGGCGAAAGGATTCACGTGAGTATTTTGAATTATTTGTTTCCATTCTTATGGACTAATTTACACTTGTCGAAGGTTGGCATCATCCAGTGAATCATGCTCATTTCGCGTGTTTGCAAAAAAAAAAAAGGGGACATTTGTTTGGTATTCCTATTCCTCATTTTGATTTTTTTTTTTTTTTAACACTTCGCAGGAAGACATTTGCGTGCCTTACTCCCCTTTAATTTTGCACGACAAAATATGTTCACGTACGTTTCCACCCTCTCCAGGTGAAATAGTCATATGTATATCACCCACGGCGCATAAACAATGACTTGCTGGCTTTCATTTGCTAGCTCGCATGTCCCTTTCCCTTGAGTTTGACGCACACTTTTATTATGCTCCTCCTGACGTGTTTGCGATTTAATTGTATTATTTGCTCGTCCACGGCCGGCTTGTGGCCCCCTCGCGTGTGTTTTCGGTGGGCTCCTGTGTCCACCTCCGTACTGTCCGCCGAGTAGGTGTGCACGTGCAGGTTCCTGTGTGCCTGGATGTGTAACTACGTAAATGGGCCCTTATCTGTGGGGCAAATCTGGAGCATATTCACTCACCGTGCACGGGGTTACCTCCGCGCACACACACGCGTCCTCAACTAGACGGACAGCACGCAGGCGGACCAGGTAAAATGAGGCACAATGGAAAATCCATTATAAATCGCCCCCACGAGCGAGCTCCTTTTTAACGGCCACATGTGTCCTCCTACTTAATTATTTACACACACCTTCTTAATCACCCCCCAAAATGAATCCCCTTCTGGCTTTACACACACCTCTGTAACATGTATGCTCATTTGTGAAAGTCGGCACCACCGACATGAAACGGGGAAGCTCACCTTCCTCCGATTGCTAATCGTTGTAAGTGTGTTTGTCTTTGCTCCTTATTTGGGTCATTACCATTTTGCCTCCAGCCGTCTTCCGCGGAGGATTGACCATCGCCCCATTTGGAGACCACCATTTTGCAGTCACCTACTGCAACTCCCCATTTGCGTCTTTCCACTCCATCATGTTCATTCTTTCTTTTTTTTTTTTATGTGTCTTTTTAATCCCCCTCTCTCCCATTTGCCGATTTTCCAATCTGCCCATGTGTCCACTTGCACATGTCCATCCATTTGCAAAGTAACCCCCTCATTGGGAGCCTTTCCCTCTCCTCATTTTCCATCCCGCACCTTTCGGAAGGATGAAAGGGGGAGAGTGAAAGATAAAAATGTATTTTTGCAGAAGAGGAGATATGCCTCAGCATGTGGAAAACACGTACACTAACCATTTCAACGTCGAGCGCAAGGAGGTTAGTGGCCTTAGTCGGATTCGTCCCTCCCCCCACTGCGCCCACCACGTTAGCCGCGCTTTTGAGCAACACGCGGATAGCCAAAGAAACCTCGCAGGGCGAAGCCCACCCCATTTTAAAAGAACAAACCTTCGTGAAAACAACTTCTACCTAAATGCAAACAACACACGGGACAATAACTCGCCAAAGATGGGGCAAAAGAACGCAAAAGCAAACAACGAAGGAATCTATCACATGAATAACGATGCATATAATAACAGGTACAGTAATGTGACATACAACCATGCCGGTGAAATGAATCCCAGGAATTACAATTTCAACAATATTAAGATTGTAGAGGATGACGAAAACTACAGTTCCAGCATGAATCCCCCCAGCAATGTCAGCGGGGGGAAAATGGGAAGCCATCCTAACGGCGGCGTCCTAGACAATCGAAAGTTTCAACTCAAAAGCGACGATATGAATCCAGAGCACGGAAGGTCCCATCAAGACTACGCGATAGTGAATCGGGAAAATTGGGGAGTCGCGGTGGACCAGCATAAAGGCAACGGAGCTGGCCCCTATCACCATATGTTCAATAACGACATGGGCTTCCTGACCCAAAATAGGGTTAGCAACCCGGACGTGCACAGCCCAAATGCAAATACCAACCTGGGTACCCTTCATCCTCATCAGTACAGACATGAGAATAAAATGTCAGATGATAAGTATGAGCAGCTCAAGAACAAATGGGAATCACCCCCCAGTTATCCTTACGGCAACGCGGCCCCTCCGATTGCGCCTTCTATCGCTCCACCAGGAGGGGCCACTCAGAAGAACAAAGCCGACCTATACGGCGACGCTGGGAAGACAAACTCTCCACCTTATGGAACCCACTCTAACATGAACGCGCCGTATAGAAACTTTAACAACAATGCCGGGCAGTGGAAAGATATGACTGTTCGTCCCTTCGCCAACAGGGACAACCTGAACTATGATGAATATGAAGGCAGAGGTAACTACCATGAGAATCACATCGAGAGTCAACACAACGCACCTATGTTTGGGAAAAATAAACCACCAGACATCGATGACATTATTAGAAAGTACACGGCGAAGGAAAACCAGGAAGATAATTTCAAATTCAATTGGGGCCACGCAAAAAACCAAGTTACAGGGGGGGATCTCTTCAAAGGAGCCAACAAGCATATGAACGACGGCCATGTCGGGAGCTACCTCGCTGGTGATCAAAGAACTGGTAATCACACGAATTCCAGCCCCAATTACACTCCGCAGCATAATGTGATGTATGGATTCAATCACAACGGGGGCTACCTTCCCCGGGCCGCCAATACTACCAACGCTGGCAACACTTCTAACACCGCCAACGCTGCCAATAACGCCAATACTTCCAACCTTGCCAATGGAGGGAGTGCCCCCCTGCTGTTCCCCAACTTCTCCTCCCTACGGAATAAAGAAAAAGACGACGAAGAAAAAAAAAGAGAAAAAAAAATCAACCTATTGAAAAACATAATCGTAACGAACCCTAACCCTAAGTACAATTTTAGTTTCAGTGACGACCTGTACGAAAGTCTTCCCCCACATGAAAATCATTACCTAAACACGAGTTCCCTTGCCGACTTTAACCACTTGACGAATGGGAACCATACACATCAGGGGCAGAACGACATACTCGGGGAAGGCCCACAGAATAGGGGAAGTACGCACAACAATGCATACGAAGATTTTTACACACCGGAGAAGCTCAATGAGACGCCCGGCATAACGAACAGGCACCACTTCAAGAACGAGATCCTTCCGGTTGATGAAGATTGTTATGCAGAGAGATTCGGGGGGGACCTGTTTGGAGGGGATCGCTTTGGAGTGGACCGATTTGGAGTACACAAATATGGAGAACAAAAGTATGGAGTGGATAACTTCCCACCGGACAACCAGGCACACGACATGCGACGAAACGACGAGAACTGGCGTTACGAAAAGCACAGCGCGGATCGCGAGTTCGGCCAGAACCCCTTCCCGAGGGGGGAGTCAAATAGAGATCCCAACCACACATTAAGAGATAGAGATACAGGTGGGGATAAAAGCAGTATAAAGCTGTATGACGAAAACTCCAAGCAGAGGGCAGCCACCCCCCTCGGCGCTTTTACGAACAACACAAGGCTTCACACCATGACGGACTTACACCTCAACCAGGAGAAGAATAAGCCTCTTCCATTGACAGACCTGCTGGAGAACAGGAATTTTAACTACTTCGGGGAGAAAGCTTTTGGAAGACAAATGGGCCAGTTGGACTACTTCAAAAAGTCTCAAAATGGAACTCACCACGTGAGTGAGAATGTGTTTAGAACGTCCGAGGGTGGTGGAAGGAACGAGTCGGCCAGACATTACGGTGTCGCCGCTGCTCAGTATGGAGGAGCTACCCAGTATGGCGGCGCTACTCAATATGGAGGGGCTACCCCCCACAGGGGAGACGCCTTCTCAAACATTAACAACGTGAATATTTTCAAAACGCACGCGAAGAGCGGCGACAACTACGAGGAGGGATCTCTGCTCAGTAAGAACCAGATGAACGAGGCGTCCAAACAAACCAACAGGTACCTCCAGGAGGATGTTGCAAAACCGGGCAACAATCTGTTCGGCATGGAAAATATTTTCCAATCGGACAAGAGAAATGGCCTCCTTAACCAAGTCGATAAATCTCCCATTCTGAGGAATGAAGCTCCTTCTCATATGTACCCGTTTGACAGAGACAGGAATGCCCACTTCGATCTATCCACTCGTGAAAATAAAAACTTCCCTTATAGGGACGACAAAGACATCATTCGTCGCCCCTACTTTGACAAAACTGGGAGATCCCTCTTTGAGCCCTACGATGATTCGACGTTGAGGAATCGGCAGTATGGCCACTTGAATGGTCACTTTAATGCCCCTTTGAATGCCCCCTTGGGTAACAACCGGGACGCCCTGAGAGAGAGAAATAACTTTAGGCATCACATCGATCACCGCCGAGACGACGACCATGTTGGAGCCATTTGCATGAACGAGAACGATAATGATGGTTTATTCCCCAAGTTGAATTTTCACTTCTTGAGTGAAAAGAAAAATTCCACCATTCTTGGTGAGGCCACTACACCGACAGGGAAAAAAGTACCTACTCCTGATGAACCGACCAGGGAACAGATAAATCACAATTCACATTACAACCCCGAAAGGAGGCTAAGCAAATCTCCAAACTCTTTATTTAGCAATTACCATTCCAATGTGAAGACGAACCCGATGCATGACCATCCCACGAGTGCTACTTCGAACCAGCACTGGGTAGGAAGAGGATTGCATAACTTCGCGAAGCAACAAAACGACAGTTCCATCGCGACAAAGTACAACCACATGACAAGGATGAAGTCTTTCATAGACAATGAGCAGGACGGAGACAAGACAAATGCGAATATGCTCAAGTCGATTAATCCCCCCTCATGGAAACATGAAACTAGCCAAAATGTAATCGTACCAACCTCGAACGTAAATTTTCAGACAAATTTCAATCAGATAGACAACGATACAGAGAGGGGCAATTTAATGACTCTCTTTAACAACGATGCGAAGAGAAACATGCTCGATGGAAACAGAGATGGCGAAAGTGATGTGCTTAATGGAGGTGCCAACTGGGGGGGAAACCAGAATAATAACCTCGGAACCACCGGCGCGAAGGCCTTTCTGGGAATTCTCTCCGAGGAACAGAACAGGTATACCAATTTGCTGAACACCGTGGGCAGGTACACCCCGAAGGATTGCATGGTGAGCGGTGGCACCCTACGTGATGACACCGCCAGACATATAAACGCTCGGGAGGGGCACAACCCCCTATCCAACCACATAAACAAGAAGCCCTTCAATCCAAGCGGCGCTCACAACTTCAGCTTCGTGAAGCAGCCCCTCCACAAGCAACTCCCCCCGTTGCCTTTTAAACACTTGGGGAAGCAGGGAAACCTGGAGGCGATGGGCCAGACGAAGTTGAAGGCGCTCGAAGCTGCAGGAAGGCCGAAGCTAGGCGAGGGGGGAGGCGCCTTTGGCGGGGGCGCCAACAGTCACTTGGGAAGCAGCCACTTAGGAAGCAACCATTTAGGAGGAAACCACTTAGGAGGAAACCACTTGGGCAGCTTCAACCACGGCCATGTTTCCAACCCCCCGGACGCCACCCAAAGCGGTAATGGGAACCTCCTGAAGAACAACCTCCCCACGTTCAGGGAGAAGAACTCTTATCTGGGCGGCCTGGCCGAACTCACCCCCTTCGACAGATACAGCGACGGCAAGGACGTGCTGCACAGGAGAGGTGAGCTCTTCCACCACAAGAACGAACCGAAGGAGTTCACGCTGAAAAATGGGAATGCCAAGTTTAGTACCTACCTTAGTAGCTACCACGATCATTTCTCCTTTCCTAACGAGAAGAATGCCCCGGGGAGTCTGCTCCACAGAAAGGGAAGGGACAAGTATAGCCACGGGGAAGTTGTGGACGGTTATTTGGGCGGAGAACCACTCAGTGGAAAAGTGCCTCGGGGAAAAATGCCTGATGCAAAACCGCTCAGTGGAAATCCCTTCCTCAAGAAGGAGAAGGAAGGCGCCCCGAACGATAAGTGGCCCATCCGGGAAAATCTCAACCTGAGCTTGCTTCCAGCCGAGGGGGACAGGGGAATTGGGAACTTCGATTACGATAGGGAAAGACGCATATCTCTGAGCAATAACATCTCGATGCTCCTGGACAGAATAAGTAACAGCTCGGATAGGAAGACTGGCATGAATGACTTCCTAACCAAGCACAGAAGCAGCGAAAGCTCCAATCTCTGCGTCAACACAGTCAACTACAACGACAACCTCAATTTGGACACACAGCAGTTCGTAATTTCCGATCACCAAGTGTGTAACTTTGGCTTGTGGGCATTATATCGATGTAAGTTAAGACATGATAAGGTCTCGTTCCTTGTGAGCATCGTCGATTCGTTTTACCTGAACAGGGGGGATAGCAATGACACGGTAGCCAACAATATTTTGTTTCACAAGAGGCTGAGGCATATGAATATTTTATCCTATGAAGGGAAGACAGCTGATAAGAGCAAACTGTATTTACTCTTTGAGCACGTGCATGGGAATGTGTTGAAGTCTCAGAGTGCGCCCCTCGAGGAGAACATCATCGCGTCTTACGCATACCAGATTGTGGACCTTCTGGAGTATATGCACGCCAACTTTATCTTCTTTCACGGTAAGGGGGGTCTAGCGAGGCGGTCGCAACAGGGCTACGCCGCAACACCGCTACCCCACTACATAGCTAACCCACTACATCGCTATCCCCCCACACCGCAGGCCTCCTGTCCAACATAATCATCCTGCAGAAGAACACCAGGGAGGAGCTCCTGGAAATCCTCCACGAGCGGAACAAAAATGTGAACAAGTACTTCGACATCTACAAGCACGGCATCCTCAAGGTGTTCAACTTCGACTTTGCGAACATGGACGCAAGTAAGGAGGGCTGACACGCGACAATCACTCCACCTTTGCACTGCCACGTCATAATCGCTCCACCTCTGCACTGTCCCCACACTCACTCCACCCACGCAATTCCATCTCATAATAACTCCTCCCCTTCACCACCGCAGCCGAGAAGGACTATCAGTTTGACTTCCTCTGCCTGGCGGTGCTCATATATGAGATGTGCACCAAATACAACACCTACTATTCTAGCAAATTCGTAAGTGCGAAAATTCTTCCTGGTGTTCATCTCATCTGTTGATGTGTAGCGTCGAACTACCCATGCCAGTCCAACATAACGGCACCTCCAAGGGAGCGTCAACCTTCTTCCGCTTCCCCTTCGCGCGAGCAGTCAGACGCTGACCCCCTTTTTGCCATCCATTCCTCCCCACAGGAAGACATAACCGAACGGATATATAACACCGACTTCTTCTTCCCCCACTTTGTCTCCTTCGAGCTGAAGAACTTCTGTTACGAAGTAGGGCTCTCACAAGGGCCACCCCATGGGAGGGTGCAATCCGATAGGGGGGACCAAAATCCCACGAGATTGTACCCTTTTCCGGGCGTACTCTTTTGTTTTCCCTACCGCAAAACGTTCCCGTGCCGCTACACCGCCGACAATTTATTCCTTCCCCTCCCCCCCCGCTCAGCTCTGCTCGAAAAGAAGACACTGCTTTAGTGACCTCAAGAATCACCCGTGGTTTCAAAAAAATTTGAATTTTTAAATCAAGTAAAAAAAAAGAAAAAAAAAAAAACTTGGGACACAACGACTTTGTTTGTTCCAATGAGAACAACCACGTGTGTGTCCCTGTGCGACGTTGTGCAGACCTATGCACACTATTTGTTTGGCCTTTTCTATTTTTTTATTTTTTTTCGTCTCAAAAAAACTTTGTTTTAAAGCGTAACTTTCTCAATCACCCTTAAAATGGGAATGCAAAATTGGCATAATACGTGAGGGGTGTCCAATTGATGGAGTGTGCCTACCAAAAAGGCGCAGCGAGGTGAGACGAAACAGGTGAGGCATGTTGTTTTGGATAGCAGGCGGAGATGTTCTTTTTCGGTTCGCAGGAAGTTTTGTCTCTGTGTGTGTGTCCTTTTGGTCCCCTTATCCCCCATGTGCCTGCCCCTTTCCCCTTTTTACTTCACCTCGTGAGCCTTCTGCAATCGCTCATACTTTTGCTTCACCTCTTCGAGCTGCGGTGTACGAAGGAGAAGGTTGAGTGGTGATTGCGCTTCTAGTGGAAGCTTGCCCGTTCAGAAGTAATCTCCCAAAGTGAATAGCTTCGTGGAGGAAATACACTACGTTTCCCCGATTTCTTTGTTCGTCGAATGCAAAACCTACCTTCTCCTTCAATCTGTCCAAATGTATCTTCTTCTCGTGAAACTCCTCGAATACATTTTTGGTAATGACGCTCGTTTCCACTTCGCTGTACTTTTTAATAGACTCGTCTTTTTTCTTCTTCAGTTCATTAACAAGCTTCTTTTTGCTACATATGGCACTCTGCGATTCGTCCAGCGCCCCCTGCTTCTCTTCGAGCATCTTCTCCAAGTACAGATTCTTTTCGTCGTAGTGCAGCTTCTTCTACGGTTAGGAAGCAAAGGACCGGTGGCGGAAAAAACTGGTAAAAAATTCGACGTGGTAGGGTTAAATTAACAGAGGTATATTCACACTTCTACGTCTACTCAGATGTATTGAGAACCTCCCCCGCGCTTACCTCCGTCGACCGTTTTATCTTCTGATTCAGGTTTTCTATTTTTTTCTCCAGACAGCTTCCCTTACTCCTCAAGTTCTTGTACCTTAGCTGTAGCTGCTCGAAGTTCGCGTGAATTAAATTTTCGTCCTTCAATTTAAATGAGTTAAAAAGCGACACTTGTGCACGGAGCACGCTGTTATGCTCGTACAACTTCCTCAGGGCTAACACGTGCTTCCGGAATGCCTCCTCCTTTCCACTGATTTTGAGCTGATTCATGTCTTCCCTGATGAGGTAGCTTGGGGAGGGGACAGCGGTTGGTTTTACAGCGGTATATGTGGGTCTCCCTCTGCCTGTGTGCATGCGCCGTTGGCACGGCTGTAGTATAGCTCCTATCTGTGGAGTGCCCAAATCGCCTATCTCATCTGTCCCATCAGCAGCACACTCGGGGAAGAATTCACCAAATGATTAACCCAGTTGGGCCATGTCACGTACCACAAGTTGCTCTGCTTCACGATGGCCTCCTTAATGCAGCGGAAGAACTCCTCCAACAGTCCGTCCGTCTCCTTTCGCATGTACGAGTCTACCATTTTTAGTCGATCCATATAGTCAATCAGGGAGAGCAAAACGCCGTTGTATTTGTGCACATCCTCCGTTGAATTACTTTCAAAGATAAAGTTGTCCTGGATGAAACTCAGCAGTCGCTGTTGTATCTGTCCGTTTTTTTCTTTTATCTGTTCATTTTCTCGAGTCAGTTTTTCATTGATCGATTTCTCGGATTGGATCACCTCGTCGATGTTCTCTTCCGTGAGGTTTTTCGAGCACAGCCTGTGCATCATTCGGGGGGGTGCGCTCTCACAAATTGGTGGCAATTTTGATTCACCTTGACTGTCTTAAGCCGGTTCACCCCGACTGTTCCCACTCAGCTACATTCACGCGCGATGTAAAGGAACGATTGACCCAAGGGGGGACAGGCACAAAAACCAAAAAAAATTAGCGGAAATGCATAAGAGAATTACAAATAAGTTTCAAACGGATCGCGGTATGAAAAAAAAAAAAAAAAAAAATTCTCACAAAATGGCAAATCAGACGGAAGAAATGGGCACTCTTTGTATTTTCCATCAAGCAGGGGATTTTTTTTTTTTTTCTTCTTGTTTTATCCTCCCAACAATTAGAAGCACATCAGAGACCCCTTTAGGTTTTCTACTCCCCTAATGGGACGGCTGCATCTGCCATATGACATTTCGTCAGTGTAGAATCCTTTCTCCGTCCTTCCCCCCATCCGTGTCTTGTTGCGCGCCGTGAAGGAAAACATGTCAAAAAGGAAAAAAAAAAAAAGGAAAAGAAAAAAAGAGCAAGCGAATAAAAAGGTAGACCCTGGAGGGGAAGAGACGGTTAGGCACATCTTCACGTTATAAGGCTGTCCATGAATCCCTCAGTGGCTACTCCCCGGTGGGGAAAATATCCTGAGTCTGGTGAAACCCCTGAGTATCGCGAATCTCCTGAAGGGTGCGCGCGATACGTTCTGCCCAGCGCTACTTTAGCAAAACGTCCTTCGCTTCGTTGACTTTTGCCGCAATATAGGTGGAGCCTGGAGGTTGAAAAGGCAACCAGGGGGGGGGAAAAATAAAAAAAAAAATAAAAAAAAAAAAAATAAAAAAAAAACATCCATGTGAGTGTAACTATGTGTATACGTACATGTCTACGTAGTTGGAACGACGCACGAATCGAAAAGGAACATTTGGCGATGCACAAATGGAGCAGCTTTTCCAGACGTTGTGTTACCAGATAGCCAAACCACCAATAGACACGTGGTCAAAAACTAAGCGGCGCCTGGGCACAAGCCCTATGCCGCGCAGCTTTACGCCTCATCGCCCTTACCCCCGTTGTCCGGGTGATTCTTCAGCATCAGCTGTTTGTGAACTTCCCTAATTCGGTCCCGATTGGTAGTCGGGTTGATATTCAGTATCTTGTACGCCTCTGACTTGGACATGTTTCTCTCAAACCCCCTCATGTCATTTTTTAAAAAAAGGTTCCCTAAGCTTCTGTTAAATCCAGAGGGGGCAAAGAAATTTTTACTGCTGGGATTGATCTTCTGATTTTTCAGGTAGTTCATTCCCTTCTTGGCGAACAGGATGCCTCCCCCGAAGAGGAGGATGACAACGGGCCACATGTTCAACGCAGGAGGGGGAGACGCGGGGGAACACGTTGTCCGTCCGTCTGGATAGGGCTACCTAGTTAGGACTTCCCAGTTAGGACTTCCTACTTAGGAGTGTATGGCTTGTCCGACTATTTAAGTTTCTCCAGTTTGTCCCGCTACTTCCTTTTCTTCCACTTTGATGACGCTTTCGCTGGTGACTCCCTCTTTGTACTATTTTGGCGTGGCTACTCCTCCTTCCACTGCGCCGTCCGATCCTCGCCCCCCTCTGCCTATTCTTCACCGCCCTCTTGTGTGCCTTCGTTTCGCATGCGCCAAAGTGGGGCAGCTATCCTACGTCGCATCGGTGTCCCCACTTGCCTAGCCCTACCCAATGACGTCCGTGTGAGCAAAGGGACGTCCTGTCTCTGGCACGATTATTTCTTCAGTGCGGCCAGCGAGGTATGCTACTCTATATATATACATATATATATAGTTATGTATGCATACTCACATAACAACATCGAAGCCGCTGGCTAGCAGAATCGCATTTAGCGCGCACAATCACGGCGCGGAAGGGGCCTCTCCTCCCACCACCCGGCAAGAGTACCAGTGAGCGTGCGAAAACGCGGGAGCGAGCACTCCTCTTTCTGTGCATCTCCGTTTTTTCCCTTAAAGCCTTGGCCTTTTTACCCCCCTGGTTGGCCAAGGTACGCATAAAAATCCCCTTCTGCAGCGATACTGTTATTCCTGGGATTGTTTTAAAAAAAAAAATAGCTCTGATCAACCTCCTTTCGAGACTGCTATTTTGGGGGCCGCTTTTTGAGGGTTGTTTTTCTCCATTTGGAGGGCAAAATTAAAAAAAAAAAAAAAAAAAAAAAAAAATTAATTCGCCACGTTGGCTTGGTGCCATGGATGCAGATTTGTTTCACAGGATACCTTCACTCGTCCGTGGCCCCCGCTGCACTTCCCCTCAACAGCAATAAATGAAGCGGCGAAGTGAAGCCATAAAAATATACAAAACAGTGAACGGTTATACAAAATAAGCACATCAAGGGGGGAGGGAGATCTTCATACCAAGGGGTTATTACATGACTGGGGAGCAGGCTCCAACTTGGAGTCAGCATTTTCTCGCCCCACCGTCAGGTCACTTGCACGTACAGTTCCTCCTCGCCGATGAGACAAAGACAGCAACCTCCATGTTTCCAGAACCAGCCCCTTTTCCTCCAAACATATGGGTACAGGAACAGTGAATGACGCAATTCACGTCTCCTCGGAAGAGATAACCCCAACTTGAGCCCCAAAAGTGGCACCCACCCCACCCCTGCTTTAATTATCACCAGCGTGAAACACGCATATATGTGTATGCCTGCGCGTGTATAGTTTTGCACTCCGGTATCATAACGTGCTGTGTAGCAGCCGCGTAGAAGCCGCTTAACAACCGCTTAACAACCGCTTACCGGCGCTCCCCCTCGATAAACGAAGGCGGACAAATAGAGCAACTTCAACCAACGCGTGGGGAAGTAATCTCGCACAAAAGGGACGTACACCGCATGTTCTGTGCTCACATTCTGTAAATCGAAAAGAGCGCAGAGATGACTCAGCTTGTCTGATCCGATAAACTGATCGTAGCTATGTGTGCCCTGCGGGGGGAAGGGGGAAAAAGAACAACAACAACAACAAGTGAAGGCAAGGAAGCAGGCATACAAGTCGCCAAACAGGCACATTAAAAGGGAACAGCTCAGAAGAGGTGCATAGGCCCAACGAGAGGAGAAGCAGAATGACACAAAGAGGTGTCCCCTCGTGCCACCGCTAAGCACTTACCTTTTTCACCATCCCCGTGAGATACTCAGCTAGTATAATAGAATACAAATAGGAAAGTAAATTCCTGTCAATCGTCGTAAAGACCACCACAGCCTCGGGGAAACATAACTGACTTATGCACCTTACGTACTCCTCCTTTTTCTCATTGGGCACATGCTCAATGACTTCGGACGACACCACGATGTGATATTTTTTTCCCTCCCTGTCACTCCAGTTTGTGAAGTCACTTATGTCACAGTTATAGTAACTCTGATTTATGTGCACATTTAAGCTCTTCCATGGGTTGTTCTCTGTTTTCTTATTCCCCCAGTTGGGTTCTTTTTCCTGATGGGATGCTCTCGGGTTCATGTCTCTTGTCGTGTTGCAGATGTGTGGAGGGACACCCTCGTGGGAATTACTCATCCTTATGTACTCTGCCCCCTCGGGGGAATGACTCATCCCTGTGTGCTCTGCCTCCTCCACTCGCTGTCTCCTGCGCGCCACGTCTATGAGCTTACTGGACACGTCAATCCCGTCCATGTTTATATGCACCGTCCTCCCGGACACATAAGTGGACCCTGCACCTCGTCCTATTATGTCACTCTTTAGAAGAAAATAGGAAAAGTTCCTCCGCATATACTCGCATAGTATTCCTCCACCGCAACCCACATCCAGAATATTTATCGTGATGTCTTTTTCTTTTTCTCTCCCATGTTGTCCCTCTTTTCTCATTTTCTCGAAAAAAAGGAACTCATAATTTTTCGTGATGAAGTTAAACCTGTGCTTGTTATAGTCGTGAAGGCTGTAAGTGTTTCCTCCTGCGATTTTTTGAAGTACGTCACACCATGTTCGCTTGTCCTTCCCGTGATCATTCCACCACTCGGTGTGCATCTGGTCGAAGAAGGCGCGTTCTCTCTCATCGAAGGTTTTATTCCGGTGCTGTTTCCGCAGAAATGGCTTGCTCACATGTCCTGCTTTACCCCCCCTGGGTTTAAGCCCCGCCAGGAAGTGCTGCATGCGCGGGGGGGTGGAGCGGCACACGTGGGTGAACAGCTGTGCAGTTGCACCGTTACGCTTCTAGGCAGCTATGCGGATATGCCGCAATGGCGATATGCGGATGAGCCCCACGTCCACCACTCAGCTGCACCCTCGCCGTCCTGTTTGCTCCGCTGGTTTCTTTTGCGTTTCCTGCTCTGTGTGAGACAATACATAAGGTTCCAAAACTGACCAAATTGACGACTCACGGAAGCTATTTTTCGACCCGCGGCCAAGTACATACCGATCTGTTGCACGAGGTAGTAGCGTTGCACAAAAAAAAGAAAAAGAACGAGGAGGAGGAATCTCCTACGGTGTCGTGAAGTGTTATAAGGTTACCCAAATGGGGGACGCTCTCACGAAGGCCATTTCCACCCCACCCGCTCTCCAAACGAGCGCACTGTATTAAACCGCTTCAGAGGTGCGCTCCCCGTTTGCACTTGCCCTATTGAAGGCATACCACCTCTATCAGTGAGGAGGACGTGCCTCTTCCACTAAGCTGCTTACATCCAAAATGGTGTTGCACATATGTAGTGATCATACCCTCGCGTCGTTCGAGTTCGCCTGGCGGGATTAGCAAAAACGGGGGGGACACACGACTACGGGTAGATCTGGAACAAATTAAGTGCCCTCCACGCATAAGCCATGCTGCACAACGAGGTCCACAGAAGGAATGACTTCAAGCATAGACAGAAACAAATCACAAAGCGAGAAAAAAAAAAACACAAAGCACACCAAAGAAATCACGCACTGCCGCTTATCACAGGAGCCGCTAACTTTCAGTTCCAATAAAACGGCTGACATTATAATTTTGTTGACCCCTCATTGGTTCTACTTAAAAGGTATGGGGTGCACCTTTCCGCCGTGTCCCCAACTTCTTATTTGCCAATTCGCGCAAGTCTCCTTTGCGAAAATTCTTTACCAATTGCACCGCGGCGCTGTTGTTGGTGCGTTTATAGCCGCTGGGCGCGCCTGTGCGTGGGGAGAAAAAATGGGGCAGCCTCCAACGGTCAGGGGCTTGGTAAACCGCTTTTACGAACAGCCTTGAGGATCGCCTTATGAATGGCCTTTCGAACCGCCTTGGCGAATGCCTCCTATATAGAGTCTTGTTCCTATCTTTGGCGAGATAAAAAAAATTCTCCGCAGAGGTGAAGGACTGTGCGCGCTGCAAGTTGGCAAGTGCCCAGGAAAAAAGAAAAAAAAAAAAAGAAAAAAAAAGAGGACAAGAAGGTGAAGCAGCTAAAGAAGTTGAAGTAGTTGAAGTAGTTGAAGTAGTTGAAGTAGCTGAAGTAGCTGAAGTAGCTGAAGTAGCTGAAGTAGCTGAAG